GAGGAAGATAAAGAGGACTTGAGTGACTCTTCGAAAGACGAAGAGATGGGATTGTTTGTTAGGCACTACACCAATTATATGAGGAGAAATGATCTAAAACACTCAGACAAGAACTTAATAAAGTTTATAAAATAAACTCACTCAAAGAAATGGGATGAGAAAAAAAAAAAAGAAAAACAAGTCACGTGCTTCAAATGCGGAAAAACCGGTAACTGCAGAAGTGATTGTCCAAATTTGGAAAAATGCAAAGGAAAACAACATTACCACAAGTCCAAAACCCAAGGCAATGGACGACGTGCGTAAATCACTTAGGAAGAAGATGAAGATTCATCATCATCCTCTTCGAGTTTAGACGAAGATGTAGATAATTTATCTCTAATGGCTCGAAACCAGCAAAAGAACTCCGATGTAAGAGACTCTGACTCTCACTATTTACCTTTTTATAGAGAGTTATCTGAGGTATTCCATGATATGCATGATGATGCGTTAAAAGCTTTTAAGAAAATATCCTCTCAAAAGAAAAAGATTTTGAAACTTTTAAAACTTCAAAATGCTCTAGAGTCCTTGAAAGAGGACCATGCATCTTTAGTAAACGACCAATTGTGCATTCCTCAAACTGTAGATGAAAAAGAAAAATTAGTTGAGTGTGTTATTTGCCCTTGTTTAAAAATTGAAATGGAAAATCTAAAGGTACAAATAACACAACTAAAACATCTATTGTTACATATTTTATTCCAACTGACAACGAGCAACGTTTTAGAAAACGAAGTAAGAAAAATGCTTGTGTTACTAGAAAGAATAGAAATAAAATTTCCCCTACATTGTGTGTCATTATTGTGGAGAAAAAGGACACATTAGGCCTAAATGCCACATTTGAAATGTAAAAAATCCAAATGGTCTCATGGCATGGAAACCTAAGAGTCTTAGTGTTATCCTCTCAAGAATCTAACACTAGTTAGGGATCTAAATTTCATTGTTGATTGTCTTATAGGAATGTGTTATAGATAGAAATAAAATGTGGTTCCTAGATAGTGGTTGTTCAAGGCATATGACGGGAGACGCGTCGTTATTCATTGACTTTGGCAATAAAAAGCGTGGCTTCGTTACGTATGGAGACAACTACAAAGGCGCTAACACAGATGATAAATTCGAAGATGATATTTCAAAAATAGATCCTCCAATAGATGGGGACATTAAAGATGACGAAGAGGAAAGTGAACAAGAGGATAATAAACAAGATACCTCAAACAAGCTTCCTCAAGATTGGATCGCCACAAAGGACCATCAGTTGAATAACACATATATACTTCTCAACATATATGTTATTGTCTTGTATTCAATGGTGTGTAGTTTTCTACATTCCTTATGGATAGTGGTTTGAGTGTTCATGTGTATTTGATTGGTTGAGGGTAATTGTTTTTATGCTGGCTAGAGAAGTTTGATTTGTTGATTCATCTTTCTTTTGCATTGCTCTTTTTTCTACATTACTATCCTTGTCCTTCACGTAGAATTATGCCTTGGCATTATTTCTTCTATTGAGTCGGGAGATTTTTAGACAAGAGATTCATTACAGTGTCTGGCTTTAAACACATTTTAGAAAGTTCATGCAGACATGTCTTAATTAGACTTTACCATCTCAACGATGGCTTCGTTGAAACGTCATAAATACTCACGATGAGGCTCAGAGCATCTAGTGTATGTTGGAAAAGACTTATGGTAAACATCTCGCAATGTTTACTGGTTGAGAACTAGTGAATTGATTTCCAAGAGATGACTTGATAGTTGGTTATATAAATTTTGTGAAGATTTATATACCACTGCAATGTCGTCTCCTTTAAGATTCCAGAGATGTAAGATATATAAGCTTGCATTTGAGAGAATTTTTTGCACTAATGATTGTCATTTGTGTTGAAGACAATGTCATATTCTTAAGGTTCAGTCACCAGAGAGGCGGCATGAAATCTTCTAGGACTAGGGCATGAAATCTTCTTGGACTAGAGCGTTACAAATTTTGATAAAGAGATGTTGAGGGTCTTCACCCTATATCATTTTTTGGTCTACACCGTCTTGTTAGTGTTGTTGTTGGATTGTTCGAATAGTTGTCTATTTAGTTTGATTTTGATGGTGTAATTTATCTATTTCATCTTACATTTCTGTTAGAACTTTATGATCGTCAAAACTAATTGCAACATGTGTGGACATCATCGAAAAATAATGACTAGTTGACTGTGAGTCATAAATTATGTTACTTATATGTCAAGCAAGAGGTTTTTAACACTTATTCGTAAAAAAAGATGTGTTCATCTTGCATAATATAATTTGAAAAATGTTATTCCTACACTAAAATCATACACTTACACCGTATTTTACTGTTCACCTATACGGTGAACAGTGAAATATTATAATAATATTTTTTTTTAAATAAAAAATAAAAAATTATTATTTTAATATTTTTTATATTTTTAATTTTTAAATTAAATGATATTGACATAAAAATGTATGATTAACCAACTTCATAACTTCATTAATCATGCTTGTACATTTTATTAACCAGCTTTGTTTGTTGTCAAAAATTATTTTTTATATCTGAACGTTTATTAACCAATTTTATAACTTCATTAATCAATATTTTATATTGTATTAACCAACTTTATTGACTGTTAAAAATTATTCTTAATATCTTGACGCGTATTAACCAATTTTATAACTTCATTAACCAACTTTTTACATTTTATTAAGCAATTTTGATTTATTACTAAAAATTATTTTTAACATCTGGACGTTTATTAACCAACTTCACCACTTCATTAACCAACTTTTTACATTTCATTAAGCAATTTTGATTTATTACTATAAATTATTTTTAACATCTTGACGTTTATTAACCATCTTCATCACTTCATTAACCAATTTTTTATATTTTATTAATCAATTTTGATTTATTACTAAAAATTATTAATATCTAGATATTTATTAACCAACTTCATTACTTTATTAATCAATTTTTTATATTTCATTATTTTAAAAGCACTGTTCACGCACTATTTTCGAATTGTTCGCATATTATAAATATTATTTTTTATTTATTAAAAAATAAACAATGTTTGATATAAATATTTGATATAGAAAAGGAGTGTAAAAATAGGATAGTTGATATAATTTAGATTCAAGTTATTTAACGAAAATCCAATGTCAAAACCCAAAAAGAAAGACACTGGAAATGACCAAGTCTTGCTTTTAGAAAAGATAGATTGTAAACTCTTGTTGGAGCCAAGTCATACCAGTAATATACTGAATTGAATATTCGATCTCCATGAAGAACGTGACCTGTACTCTTACTATAGATTCACATCTGCGCCAGATCATTACATGATAATATGATTATAAAATTTAAAAAACAAATCCAAAAGGAATAATCTATGGCGTATAGATCCGTCTACAATTAATACTATATTCGTACGTCACCGTACGTATATACATACAAAAACCAAAATATAATACTATTATTTTTCATGATCTAAAATTTAGGCATTGACTTCTATTGATTTTCGTATAAAAGAATTAATATGGATCGGGATCACCACATACAGCATTGGTTCCAAGCAGTTTTATGTTGCATCTTTTATATATATATATATATATATATATATATATATATATATATATATATATATATATATATATATATATATATATATATATATATATATATATATATATATATATATATATATATATATATATATATATATATATATATATATATATATATATATATATATATATATATATATATATATATATATATATATATTCAATTAGTCATTATTTTTTAATTACAATGTTCGTATAAAAAATTATCGCATAGGTATTTATCATGCAATAATATAATATCATATATGTTCTTATATTTTAACTATTTAATATGATTAAATTTTAATTATTTTTATCAATAGAATGCCGATAGCATATTTAACACTAAATTAACTTTTTTCTCTCTCTTTAATGTGGTAATAAATTTAAAATTAAAAATAAAGATTAAAAGTTAAATAGTTACAAAAAATATTATATTTAATACAATGCCTTAATTTAACTTGAGTAAATTTCAATTTTGTATTTTTTTTTCCAAACTCTCTTATTTGCAAAGTTATAATTATTTATGCAATTTATTTTTTATTTAAAAAGTTGTTGATATATATATATATATATATATATATATATATATATATATATATATATATATATATATATATATATATATATATATATATATATATATATATATATATATATATATATATATATATATATATATATATTATTAATACATAAATAAATAAATATTTTTGTTAAAATTTGAATATTATATCAATAATTTACACTTATTTAACTTAACTGATATATTCGAGTTGAATTTACTTACCCCATGACAATAATTAACTGTTTATGCAATCTAATTGAAATTAAATCTGGTTTTGAATTAAATAAATCAAGTTAGACCAAATTCTAAATAAATGTATCATTATTTATGCAATTTGATTGAAGTTAGACATGGTTAAAAATATAAATAAATAAAATTTAATCAAAATCAAATCAATATGATTCTTTAAATAATTCTAATAAATGAAATTTAAGTTAAAATATAATTTCTTCAATAATATTTAAAGAATATTTAGATAGAGATTTACATATTTACTAAAGATATCATCATGTCCGTATTAGAAATTAAACTCATATTTTTGTAAAGTATGAGTAAACTTCTTATCTTCAAACTAATCTTCACTAACACACATAGGGAGAAGTTGGTGTTGTGGACCCTAATATTACTATTTATAATGTAATATATTTTAAAACGAAATACTACAAATATAAAAAATATATATATTATTAATTTATTTCTTTCTGCTTTGTGAATAGTATTGGAAAAAGATGAACTACAAAAAAATGAATGAATGAGTAATTAATTACAAAGAATAACTAATGTTGATCGATCGTGTGAGTTAACTAGCTACAGTGACCATTCTCTTGTTCTTATAATTAGGATGAAACAAGTTAAACCAAAACCCACTTTTCTTACTATATTGATCCCTAGTATCTTTGTTTCTCCTTCTTGGAAGAACAGCCATTGACTTACTCTTCACAAGTCCACCGCCATGTTTGTGAAACAGAAAGATAGTAGAGAAACCAGATCCATCGTCATGCATTGGAGAAGAACAAGAAGAGCCTGAAGAGGAAGAGTAATAGGAAGACAAAGAAGAAGAAGATGAAGAACAAGAAGCAGAGTTTGTTTTCTGAGAATTAGAAGAACTAGAAGATGATGAAGATAGTTGATCAAGCTTGTCTTTCAAACATAGAGAACACACACCAGGTGATTGTACATGTTTGGGGTGTCTCTTGCAACGACCACCATTAACGTTGAACATGCTGTCTTTGTCTTTTGAATAAGGTCTTCTTAGGTTTGCCATGTTAGAAATTAGGTTTAATCACCACATGAACAAGTTGGTTGATATATATGTATATCTATATATAAATATATAGAGAGAGTTATATGAGGGTGTGTTTGAGTTTCCTTGATAGTTCATGGGAGTTTCCTGAAAATAGTCTTTTTGACGGTTTTGTACGAGTTGAAAATTATAGTTAGAATTCAAAGGAGGGATGTTTAAATGGACGGTTGAGATTGTGACACGTGGAATGAGTCGGTGGTTTGATCGTGTCTTATGAATTTAAGACCAAACCTATTTGTGGGGCGGCGTGGAAATTGTGTATTTTGGTGACACGGGTTTGCGTGGACAAAATCAAATTAAGCAACTAATCAACCCAAAGGGTAAGTAATGAGCCATTAAAACGTAGTCGTTTTCTGATGTTATAGTTATACACATTTTTTAAATAAGTTTTGTATGACATTTGAATCTAAATATACGATTTGTAATTGGAGTAAATAATGGAAATTAAAACAAAAATAATATGTTAAAATATATTAGATAGAGATTTTATAATATTTTTATAAAAAAATTATGATACTTTTGTTTTTTGGTATTCAATTAAGAGAGTTTATAAATTTAAATAAATTTAATAGTATTTAATTAAGACAGTCACAATTTTTTTTGAAGATAATAAAAGTTTTTGGTATTCAATCGAGATTTTTTAGGACTTATACAAAATTGATATTAAAAAATCTACATATTTTATTATTTAGTAAAATGTATTTCGAAAGTTTCTTTAATTAAAAATACACATATAACAATTTCACTTAAATCATTAAATTTTTTTTTAAAAGTCTACAATGTTAATATAAATTTTAAAAAAGTTATATACTAGTCAAAATATTCTCTTAAAATCTCAATCTAACATCTCCTAAATTTGTTTTTTTTTTTTAAAATAACCAATATTTTTTAGATAAATTACAAAAATATCTGTTAAAATCTGTTTTATAATATAAATATTAAAATCTGTTTCATAATTATATATATATATATATATATATATATATATATATATATATATATATATATATATATATATATATATATATATATATATATATATATATATATATATATATATGTTATATATATATATGTTATATATATATATATATATATATATATATATATATATATATATATATATATATATATATATATATATATATATATATATATATATATATATATATATAACATATATATATATAACATATATATATATATATATATATATATATATATATATATATATAACATATATATATATATATATATAATATATATATATATATATATATATATATATATATATATATATATATATATATATATATATATATATATATATGTTATATTCATAAATATTAAAATCTGTTTTATAACAAAATATAAAAATATACATAAATTTGTTTTATAAATCTGTTTCATAAAAATATACATAAATCTGTTATATTAAAATTTGTTTTATCAACAGCCACCAACACCAACATAATTTTCAAAATAAAAATATATCTAAAATTTTAAGAAAAAACAGAAGTCTGTACCTTTTGATGCTCTTCCAAATTCGTAACTTCTCTTGACAAAAATTTGATAGCTTTATATATTATCCACACTACATGCAACACAACAAATAAATAAAAAAATTAATTAATAAATCTAAATAATAAAATAAATTATAAATACGAAAATAATATAAATAAATAAAATAACTTACTTTTATCAAGTGGGACAAAAATGTTGGAATATGGAAGGAGAAGAAGAAGAATAGGGAAGAAAAATTTAGAAAATGAAATGGAAAAGAGGAAGAATAAGAACTTAAAATATGAAATGGAGAAGAAAGAGAACAATTTGCATTTAAGAGAAAAATGTAGAGGATAGAAAAGTTACTTATGAATGTGGTTGTTACAGTGTGAATTAATTTGGGCATTTAATATTGTCTTTTGCAAAGGGTATCCCCTAGCTAACTGTTGGTGTGTGGCAGACAATTTTGCAGAGAAATAAATGTTTTTTCAGTGGGATTTGACTAAAGTAGGACAAATGGTGAGGGGATGCCCCTCGCAAATTGTGAACGTGACGTGGTGAGGGGATGCCCCATCGAAAATGTTCAACTTTCCCACCTGAATATGCGCTGAACCCTAGTAAAAGTACATTTCAAAATTCAAAAAAATTTCCCTCCTTGTTTGCGAGGGGTATCCCCTAGCTAACTGTTTATATTATTTTTCTTCCCTATTTTGCATTTTGCGAGGGGTTTAACCCCAAGCAAATGTATTTATTTTAGTGAGGGGTTTTCCCCCTAACCCACACCCCTAGCTAATTCCATGTTTTCTTGTAGTGAACATCTATTTATAATCCTCAAATATGATGAGAGTAGTGTGGTGTTGTCAAGCATATATGCAAGTGTAGGCATGTAGAGTGCAAGTTTCTAAGTACATGAGTCACATGAAAATGCATGTTATGGTGTTGTCATGCATGCAGAGTGTTGTCAAGCATGCATGTGACATGGATGAAGGGAAGCGTGCAGGTTTATTTTTGTCATGCATGTGAGGTAAAAAAACATTAGTGTATTGTTGTCATTCATGCAGAGTGCAGTGAAAATATATCTTATTCTAGAGTGTAGTGTTGTCAAGCATACATGAAAGTGTAGCCAGAGTGTAGACGGTAGGCATGCATAGTGTAGACGGTAGGCATACAGAGTGCAGACGGATACTGTAGCCATGTGTATACATTTATTAGTAAGAATCTTGTAGGCATGCATAAAATTAGAGTGCAGACGGTAGGCATGCAGAGTGCAGACGGATACTATAGCCATGTGTATACATTTATTAGTAAGAATCTTGTAGGCATGCAGAGTGCAGACGGATACTGTAGCCATGTGTATACATTTATTAGTAAGAATCTTGTAGGCATGCATAAAATCAGAGTGCAGACGGCAGGCATGCATAGTGTAGACGGTAGGAATGCATAGTGTAGACGGTAGGAATGCAGAGTGCAAACGGTAGGCATGCGTAGTGTAGACGGTAGGTATGCAGGGTTTAGTCTTGTCATGCAACTCACTTTGTAGGCACGCAGAGTTTAGTCTTGTCATGCAACTCACTTTGTAGGCACGCAGGGTTTAGTCTTGTCATGCAGCTCACTTTGTAGGCACATAGGGTTTAGTTTTGTCATGCAGCTCACTTTGTAGGTATGCGTGGTTTAGTCTTGTCATGCAGCTCACCTTGCAGATGTAATAATAAAAAGCAAGATTTTATTGCTATTAATACAGTAGAGATAGCTGAATTATTATCATATCAATTAGTAAAACAATCCCTTCAAACACAAGTTTACTAAAATATTAGTTATGTCTCAAACACCATAATACATGATTAGTGCACATCTAAACAGTGAGGTTTTTGAATGTAACATAGCCTGTTACAATTTCAGAAATACTAATGTTACGAGATTTTTGATTGACAGAAGGTCAAATTTTTTACACTTGAAGTCAAAATTAGAAAAGAAACTACAACGTGGTCCAGTTAGCCAAATAATCTACAAGAATCCTATGTTCTTTGGCGGGCACAATCAATGCAAATTTTTCTCATTAAAGATTCGAGACGATGAAGATGTGCGTAGCATGTTCCGTAATCATGAGTATTCCGGTTTCTCGGATACCGTGTTATATGTTACGTTACAACTATAATTGTCTCAACAACTTGATTCTTCTCAATTTTTTTACGAATCTGATGAGGAACACGTTGAAGTCGATGTCATTGATGAAGAAGAAGAAGCAGCTGAAATCATTGTTGACGACATGGTAAATAACGAGGAAGAGGGGGTCCCACTCGGTCATGTTAATTGCCCACCTCAACACATGACAACTCTTGATTTAGGTGACGATGAACCCTCAACAGATGTTTTTTACAACCCGAACTATGCAACAGAAGGACTATTAGAAGAGGGTGTCGAGTTTCGTACAAAAGAAGATTATGTCCGAGCAATTAAACAATATCACATGGACTTATCAGCAGATTATAGAGTCGATCGAACAAATCTGACTTGGTATAAGATCTATTATCGTAACAAGGTGTGTCTGTTACGATTAACAACGTCTTTCAGGAAGAGAAGTGATTCATGGAAGATAGGGTCAATGGGTCCAACCCACACTTGTATAATCACGAATTCGATGTAGGATCATTGCAAGCTCAGTTCTCAATTGATTTGCGATGAGATTCTATCGGTCATTAGCAACAACCCATCTTTGAAGGTGAGTACCATAATTTCACATATGGTTCAAAGTTATAATTACACTCCTTAATACCGGAAAACATGGATAGTTAGGACTAAAGCAGTTAAAAGGGTGTTTGGAAATTGGGAGGAGTCTTACAAGGAACTTCCAAAATTCTTGGTGGTTCTTAAACAATACTCTCCAGGGACTGTTACCATATTGGAGACAATGTTAGCGTATACACCAGACGAGACTTGCGTTAGTGGAAATGGAATTTTTCATAGACTCTTCTGGGCGTTTGAACCATGTATCAAAGGATTTGCTTATTGTAAACCTATAATTCAAGTTGATGGCACATGGTTGTACGGGAAATATAAGGGCACGCTACTCATGGTTGTGGCATAGGACGGAAACAACAACATTTTTCCAATAGCCTTCGCTATAGTTGAAGGGGAGATTGTTGGGGGTTGGAGTTTTTTCTTAAAAAATCTCCGCTTTTACGTTTCTCCCCAACCTAACTTAGGTTTGATCTCTAATAGACATCCATCAATCGAGAATGCATACAATAACCTTGATAACGGTTGGCAGGATCCTCCCTCGACCCATGTGTATTGCATAAGACATGTCACCCAAAATTTCATGCGAGAAATCAAAGACAAAACACTTAGGAAGAAGGTTGTGAATGCAAGATATGCACTAACAGAGCCCACATTCGAACACTATTGTAACGAGATCAGACTGACAAACACGGATACATTAAGATGGATTGATAATATTA